TCAAACAAATACTTAAAAACAAAATTTAGTCAAGTCTTGCTCTTGTAATATCGCAGAAAATGCAGAATTTGATTGACCAAGAAAGAGCAACTTCTGATTAAAGAAAGTCCTAAATTAATTGACAAATTAAAGTGCAGTGCTAGCCTTCCCATGCCAGTCTGGCTTTTCGCCTTGGCAACTTGGGATTATTGATACACTGTATCTATATGATCCATTACTTATATTTATCTTCATATCCGAGTCCATATGAACCAACATCTTGTATATAAGTTAAATACATAAAAAGCACAATTCTTGTAAAAATATTATTTACGAACCATTGTTTGACTAGATTTACTATTATTTTGAGTCAGATCGAGTTAAATGTATTTATCATTAGTTTGACTCGGGGTGTGAAATGAGAGGCCAGCTATTATCCACATGGAAGTTTAACCTTGTCCAACCAACAGCTGATTGGTCCAACTAAGGAAGATGGGAATGATAGGTGTTATTATAAAATTTGTTGCACAATTGGAAGGCAAGCATCTACTATACTATTCAATATGGCTTTGGCTAAGGCCTATCTTCTTCGATTCTTGTTTGAGAAATAATAATAATTATTATGGGTTTTATATTTAGAGTGTGATAGGGAAACTTCCCAACTTGCAGCACTGATTGGAATAAACAGTGAATTAATTGAAGAATATAAAAAAGAAAAGGACTTGGTTTGTTGCTTCATTTTTGCTTTAAAATATGCAACTTGGGGCCATTGAAAAACCTTGCATCACCACCCAACATGGGATCATTTTATTTATACAAATTTCTAATTTTATTTTAATATACATTTTAAAAGATATTATCCCTTAGGTTTTGATATGGGCACTTCATCCTTTGGATTATAAAAGATTAGATTCAAACTCCACATGAATAACCAACCAGATTTATTTTATTCTTATTTCTAACTAAACTTATATTTTAGTCTTTCAACTTAAAAAAATATGGAAAGTTACACATATAGCAATCTGGTAGTAAATCTAGCCGAAGCTAAAAAGATTTGAAAATATTGCACAATTCTTTAAAATCCATCACCATATCATAATCGTGCACACATTTATAGTCCTACAAAAATTGCTTGCATCTTTCTAAAATCTTATTTCTTATACTATATTTACAAATATGATAAAACTATTTGTCACTCATTACACTCCCGGCAAAATCAGTATAATCTATATTTATTAACCTTTTTTATAGACTATTTAAAGAAATTTAATTTAGACACATATTTTATTAATTTACCTAATGAATGGATATCTCCCTAGACAATATTTAGGAGTATAAATGAATGATTTGCAAACTACAACATATGAGTCATGAATTGGGTTATTAAGGGCTTGTTTAGTAACGTTCCCGTTTTTTTTTTCGTTTCCAATTTTTTTAAGAAATTTAACCATTTTACAATTAATTATGTTCTTTTTCTCCTTTTTGACATTCTCGAAATTGTATAGAAAATTTTGGAAACAACGAAAACAAGTTTTTTCTTTCTTGTTCCCATTTCCAATTTTCTCCTTGTTTTATCATAATTGAATTCAYGGAGATTGGAGTCTTGCGATTCATTTTTCTTTATTAAAAATGAAGAAACAGAAACAAGAAACGAGAACGTTGCCAAACGAATCTTAAGCCTCCGTAACCCAATTCAAGAACCAAACCAAAAGATTTCTACTTTTTTATTAAGAAAAAACAGTAAAGCTCATGTAGATAGACATTGAGAAGTTGTAAATTCAGGAGGCGCCCAAATATCAAAATAAAGATGGGCACCCGGAAACCATATCATATTAATATGTTTCTTCCTCTACATATTATTATATTTCAAATGATTAAATCCTCAATTTTAAAAATCGAAAAAAAAAAGAAAGAAAAAAGTCTTCGAAAGCATCCCAAAGAAAAAGTGCTTCTCTTTCCAAGGAAAGGGAAAGGGAAAGGGAAAAGGAAAACGAAAATTCTCTTTTGTCTACATTATATAAGTGGGAAAAAGGTGTGTTTGAAAAGAGGGTTGCTTTCATATTAAGTATATAAAAAAGATTGCTTTATTAAAGCAAATCCCCATTTATCAATTATCTTTTTTCCTTTGCAATTCCATATATCAAAAGCTACATTGGACCATAACCCTCATTCTCTAACTTTTAAACCCATTTAAATAAAATTAAATTAAATTGATAAATATCAAAGTTAGTCACCAAATTAAATGCATGCATTGAAACCAAGGCAAAAAGTAGCACTTTTAATGCAAAAAGGAATGGCAATACCCATTTCAAGCTTATTGAATCCAACTCTTTTAGGATCAATGTAACTTTAGAATCTATTGATTATATTTTTCTTAAAAAGAAAAAAAAAAAAAGATTATGACCCACAATTAAAGTAGTGAAATTTGTAATTAAATCACCCGTGGGTTCTGATCGTACAATGTTTTATAAAAAGATATTTAAAAGAGAAAATATTAGATTTTACTCCAACCTATTAACTTAGGGCTCTTGGATCAGTAAGTAATTCATATGCTACTCCCTTTCCATCTGGGTTCAAATCGCTAACATGATCTCAATCGTATAATTGACATCCTACTCCTTTCTTTGAGGTCGGAGGTTCAAATCTCATACTCTGTATTAAAAAAAATATATATATATCTTCCTCCCTTAGATTTGTAATTCTCTAATTAATAAAATAAACATGGTTTTCAAAAATTAAAAAATAAAAAACATTTCACACTAGAAATTAGCTTTGCATCAAAACCCTTTCCATGTGCCAAGACTTATGAAAATTTAAAGATTAAAAATAGCATATTGGAACCAAATATTTGATAGAATAAATAATGAAATTATATATATACCCTAGCTATAACGCTACCAACAGTCATCCATAACTTTTTCAAGGCATCTATCCATGGTTATAAATTAAATTATTTATTATGCGTAGAATAATTTGGGGTATTAGTTTTCAAACAAGTTGGTGTTTTTAATTCTAAAAAAAAAATGGTATTAATTATTATCAGCGTAATGTGATTTGTTTGAAAAGCAAAAGCGAATAAATAATCTCTTGAAATCTTAATTCCCATTTCCACGAGATCCAGTTCACATATTACACGACAAAATCATTTTTGTTCAACTTTCTTCCAATTATTTTTTAAATTTTTTGAATTTCTTTTTTCTTTTGGGTTGGAGAGAAGTGGACTTTTATATTCACATTTCACTTCAACCTCCCTCTCTCTCAATTGACTCCAACAAGAAAATGCTTTAAATATCTCATGAACGTGTAAAAATTATTCACAAATCAAAACATTTAATATGAACGTGAGGAAATAATACCAAATTTGAATAATCTTTATCAATTTTTTTGATTTCTATGATCTTGTATATTGGAAGATCTGGGTGAGCCATAGATACAATTATTTTTTCTGTAAAGTTTGTACTTTTTTTGTGGATTTAAAAGAGAAAATTTCTTTATTAAAGAAGTAAGAACCAAATATTAATTTCACTTTATAAACTGATTACAACTTGATGTTAAAAGAGAGAACCCAGAAAGCAAATTGAACGAGGAAAAAAAAGGAGAAAAAAAGAAAGATCTGATGCTTAAATAAGTACCCTTTTCACCACATTATAAAGAGAGAAAAAAGCTTCGTCTTTTATGTGACTTTTTTCTTAGGAGACGAAAAAAAAAAAACATGTTGGAAAGCATTTTCATGTCTACGTAAAACAAGCTTTATCTCATCCAAAAGCTTGCTTGCACTTCCAATTATTTTATCCCACGTCAATTTTTATATGCTACAAAAATACCAATCTTTTTCTGTCAATTTTAAAAATATAGAGGTACGGTATTAAATTTCAGTCCATATTATTTTCATGTGTTATGGATTTAACATCGACCTGAGAAATAAATCGACATTTCAAAAAAATAATAATAGTTGTAATAATTAATGAATTAACAAAATATGAAAAATATCAATAAAATATATATTAATTATTAAATACTTTTTTACACAGTTTTTATTTTATAACCTTTCTAAAAGTATCCATCGACATCGATGTTTTATCGATATTTCCATGAAATTAAGACATCGGCATTAAAAATCTTGATAAGATATTTATAATTACCATCTCAAACTTCCTGCCTCCACAATTATGGTTTAAAGAAAGCAATTTCTTTTAATTTAATTTGGTAAACCTCTGGAATGTCAACCATTTTCACTGTAATATATTTGAATGGTGGAAAATAAATATAATAGAATTACATTTTTTTTTTCTTTTATAATTAATGTGACATTACAAACGGGTAAGTGAGAATCCAAATCAAGACTATTAATATCTTGATGGATTTCAACTACACTGTTGATTTTTGGTAAAAATGTGTAGTTTGACTAATCTTTCAACAACCATACATTTATGGTAAAAATAGTACAATATTTAATTATTAGAAAAGAAAATAGTATGACATTTAATTAGAAAAATAATAATAGGGGTTTTTATCCATAATAATTTTAAAAAAAAAATTAAGGAGATGAGAATGATGATGTAGTGAAGTAATGATGTGTACAAAAAGCTCATCTTCAGCTTTTCTTTTCCATCCCACCAACCTCTCTTATTGGCGGCTTATGTTCTTTCAATTTTCAGTTTCTATTTTTTTTAATTTCATTTTCTCTCTCTCTCCTATTTTTTTTCTCTTTTTCTTGTAAGAACTTTTTTTAATTATCCCCTTTTTGAATCCCTCTTATATAAATTTCCCCATATTTCCAATCCCCTCCTCCCTTGAATAAGCAAAAACCCAAAAAAAAGAAACCAATCTTTCTCTCTCTCTCTACGATGGCAGAGAGAAAGATGAACAAAAATCAAGATGATGGGGCTGGAATTAAGCTTTTTGGGGCAACAATTTTGCTGCAGAGCAGGCAAGTAGTGAAAGAAGAGGCTGATCAACAAACGCCGGAAAAAAAGCCGGCGCCGGCGCCGGAGAAGATCATCCCTTGCCCAAGATGCAAAAGCATGGACACC